CTCTTGCTCAGGCTGGTTTCGAACTCCTGAGCTCAAACAATCTGCCCGCCTCAGCCTCCCAGAATGCTAGGATTACAGGCGTGAGCCACCACGCCTGGCCTAGAGCGCAATTCTTGAGTGCAGGCTGGACTTAGTAACTTGTTTCTAATGAATGGAACGTAGCAGAAATACCAGAGTGCGACTTTCTAGGGTAGGTCATAAAAGACATTGTAGCTTCTGTCTTGCTCTGGGGGAAGCCAGCTATCTTGTCCTGAAGCAGCCCTTTGGAGAGGCCCACACAGCAAGGAACCTGAGGCCTCCTGCCAACAGGTGTGTGCTTGAGTCTTCCTGGAGATGGAGCCTTCAGTCCTAGCCCCGCTTTCAGATGACTGTAGCCTCAGCCAGCATCTTGACTGAAACTTCATGAGAAACCCTGAGGCGCAACCACCCACCTAAGCTGCTTCCCAAATTCCTGTTCCATAGAAACTGAGATAATGAATGTTTTTTGTTTAAGCCACTAACTGTTGGCATGATTTGTTAGGCAACAATAGATAACTAATACTCCTGTAATCCCATTATCCAGAGGTAATGCAGTTAACATTTTTGTCCTTTTAGATTTCTTTCTACGGAAGAGAAAATGGATAGATTTAACATAAATGTATAAAATATATACGCATTTGCTTTTTTAAACAGAAATTGTGATTGCCATCTGCATGTCACTTGATAGGCAAGGTCTTCTTTCACAGTAATGTCGTTTTAATGCTTGCATTATACTGCATAATATGAAATTAATTGTTTAGTTATCCAGTCCTCTATTTTGAATATTTACTTTTCTAATTTCTCCCTATTATAAACAGTATTTTAATGATGAGTATCCTTGTAGCTATTAATACCTCTTTTTTCTTTCTAATAGCCACATTTTGTGTACATGTATATTTTCTTAGGGTAATTTGGAACTGGAATTTCAATGACTGAAAATTATGCATATCATTATGTGTTACAAAATTTCCCTTCAGAAAAATTGTACCAATTTCCTCATACTTTGAGCAACACTAGCTATTATTCCCTTCCATCTTTGTTAATTTGAGAGGTAAGAAAATGTTATTTTATATTTCTTTGATTACATTATGTTGAACACCTTTTTTATTGTCCATTTATTATTATTTTTCTTTAGTGAATTGCTTATTCAAACTCCTTGCCTTTTTTTTTTCCTGTCGAGACCTTCATCTTTTTTAATGGCT